AGCCATGTAGCCCTGCCAGAGCTAGATATAATTTTACCTGGTAAGCCATTGCCACAAGGCAATATACAGATTAATAGAAATGGGTTAAATTAATATGTAAGAGTTAGTGAATAAGAAGCTAGAACTAATATGCCAAGCAGTGATTTAATTAATACAGTTTCTGTGTGATTATTTTGGGATCAAGCAGCAGGAACAACTAAGCGGCCTCCTTCAACACCATATTCCAGTCCTGCACAAGAGCTACAAGAACTCTTAGCCACCAAACCATTTCTCCAGCCCAATAATTTTATTACCTAAAACCTTCAGTCTAGTAAGGAAAAAACTATACTGGAAGTAAAGAGGTTATTTATTTATTTATTGGTTCTTAAGGCACACTGTATACTTCAGCAGAATTAAAAATCAAGATATTTAATTTTTTTACTTTTTATTTTTGCTAAGACAGCTGTAAGCAACCAGTTGGATTGTACTGCCACCCACTGGGGAAAAAGCAAATAGCAATGCAACGCCTGCCCAGATCTTAACACCAAGAAGACATGGCTGACCTTTAATGGCAGTTGGGTAAGAAAAATATAACTTATACAATATACAATAAAGTAATATAAGCTGGTGTTTGTACAGCCTGAATAAAGTTAAGACTAATTATGGCTTACTTTCCACTAATTTCATTATTTATTGGTTTGTCAAATATAGTATCTACAAACCAAGATATATTTAGCTTAAAAGGTACCAAAATTACTATTTTTTAAAAAAAATTAATATCTTAAGTATACCCAGTCAACTTCACTTTAATTAAAACAGCTGATAAACACTTCCATAAAGTACTGTTTAGTGGGGCTGGAGATATGGCTCAGCAGTTAAGAACACTGACTGCTCTTCCCAAAGACCCAAGTTCAATGCCTAGCACCCACATGGCAGTTCACAACTATCTGTAACTCCCAAGATCTGACACCCTCATACAGACATACATGCATGCAAAACACCAATGCACATAAAATATAAAGAAATAAATGTAAAGTGCTGTTTAGAGATTTAAGAATGAGAACTTATACCATTTTCCTCCCCCTGCTCTACTTTGGCTACTCCTTACCAGGACCTGAATGCAGCATTACCTGTGCTGTTTCCCCCATTTTAAGGTTTTTGTCTTTCCCTAAAAACAGTCTCTGCTTAAACAGCTAAGTGGGTAAGATACAGTAAAAGCTCCAACTGATTGAAAGCGAGCAACTGTTAAAGGTTAAACAGAACTTTGCAAAACTAAGCAGGCCAGGAGTGGTAAGGCACATCTCTGCCCTTCAGTTCCAGCACGGGGGAGGTAGCCTTGTCTACACAGCAAGTTCCAGATCAGCCAGGGCTACATATTAACACCCTGTCTCGGCAACAAACAACAAAAACAAAACTAAGTTGGTAAAACAATTTTCTGTATATAACTAGTTCCATTCATTTGAGAATCAAAAAAAAAAAAAACCCTAAAAATTCAATACTCCAGTGATATAGAAAAAAAAGGAGGGGGGAACCCTGAATTTCTTTATATTTAAAAGAGACAGAAGTTATAGGAAGAGGGATATAAAAAAATGGGCAGGATAAACTGTCACAATCTCAAATAGAAACTATAGACAAGAATCAAGTGAAGCAACAAATGAGAAGACTGAATGGGTTCAGTTATTTGTTTTACCAATTCAACAACGAGCAACTTCTTAAGTTACTGAAGGGGTAGAAAAGACACTATTCCAAACTGAAAGGTGTATGTGGGAGTGTGAGGTCTGTGTTTTACAACAGTATGTTAGATTATGCTACTTTACAAAAATATTTAGGTTTGATAGACTAATAATATTAAAATCTGAAAACTATATTCTCTATTTTTTAGGTCAACACCAAAAATAAATATGGAATGCTATTTCACACAGCACTTCTGAGTCTCTCCAACAGAATGCACCTTTATTTTTATGTTCCCTGGTGTTTTGCCTGAATGTATGACTGTGTGAGGGTGCCAGAAGCCCTCAAACTGGAGTTACTGACAGGTGTGAGCTGCCATGTGGGTGCTGGGAATTGAGCCTGGTCCCCTGGAAGAACACACAGTGCTCTCAACTGCTGAACCATCTCTCCAAGACCCACAACATACCTTTAAACTTGGATAAATAAGTCAAACCAGTACCTATTTTAAGATGTCCTTGACAGAGGATGATGCCCTGTGGCTTCAACCCATTGATCTGTCAATGCAATGTTCAATCTTTGCTTATCTGCCAAATGCAACTCAGACCACAATACTGCTCTGGCTCAAGAACTTAAAAACCAGGTTGGCAAATAACATGCCCCACCCAAACACAATGGCCTGCCCTGTAAGACTTGCCATATTCCGGTTATCACGAAAACTACCTAAACACCTAGAGAACATGAGGATCAATTATCAAAGAGTAATCGTGATACCTTCCCCATTGGTACAGGTCAAAAATCAGCTGATGAGCATTCACTCAAGTGTCTGAGTACGGTTGTGCCTGATACTAAGGTTATCAAGAACAATGGCAATGGGTTTCTGATCCTACTGCACGTACTGGCTTTGGGGGAGCCTAGGCAGTTTGGATGCTCACCTTACTAAACCTGGATGGAGGTAGGCGGTCCTTGGACTTCCCACAGGTCAGGGAACCCTGATTGCTCTTCGAGCTGATGAGGGAAGGGGACTTGATCGGGGGAGGGGGAGGGAAATGGGAGGCGGTGGTGGGGAGGAGGCAGAAATCCTTAATAAATAAATAAATTTAAAAAAAAAAAAAAGAGAGAGAAGCAGGACAGAGTCCTTGCCTCCCAGAAGAGCCAGAGAAGTAGCCGGACTTGAATACAAAGACAGCAACACAGCTGCAGCCCTAACAAGCTTGTTACTGCGAAGAGGCTAAGAGTCCATAAACAAATGCCAACTGTCTGCTTTGTTCTGTTCTGTACTGTCTTGAGAGCTAGACAAGAGTTCCAGGAAGGCTGTCTGTCCATAGGTGAACAGAAATGAATGTAATACTGAGAAAAGGCAGCTTTGCAAGGCAGGAAGCAGAAGGGGAAAAAAAGGATCTTAAAACTTAGTGTAAACTTAGGTATCACAGATATTTCAATAAGGATATTTCACCTTAATGTTGAAAATCTGACAAGATGATTTGAACACATTTAATGAAAGGGTCTACAACTGAGGAGCGACAAAGCTGGAACCAGGGTCTGAGGTCCCCACATTGTTACCTACTTTACCTAGCTATTTAAAACTGGTTACCATCTTCCAACAGAAGTCAATTAAAGACTGGCGGGTTGGTGTGTGTGTGTGTGAATGGGGTGTGTGTGTGTGTGTGTGTGTGTGTGGTGTGTGTGTGTGTATACGCGTGTGTGTATGGTGTGTGTGTTGTATCGTATGTGGGTGTGTATGGTGTGTGTGTGGTGTGCGTGTGTATGTGCATGCCCAGAAGTCAAGGCAGAAGGATCACTAGTGGTCTGACACAATTCTAATTCAGCAGGTGTTTGTTAGATGAAGCCCAGATGAAGACTGTCAAGAGCTAGTTCAGTTCACTGGGGAAGCACTTGCTTAGCATGCACAAGACCAGAGAATATGATACCCAGGACATCAAGAAAAAAAGAATTTAAAGAAAATAATGTTTTTTAAACTAATGAGATGTGTATTGACTCTAAAAATAAACTCTTTTGGGTTTTCATGATATACACCTTTACATTTACTGACAGTCTTTTAAATACTAAAAAGAGCACAACACCTTTATCTTGCTTTAATCTTTAATAAGTCCTTCCTAATAGGAAGTTAAAAATTTAGTTTTGTAAAATGCTGCATTAGCTGGGTGAGGAAAAACAAACTCTGACAGATATGACTAAAATTTGGGAATACCAGTACCAGTATCAGTCAAAAGCTGGATAAATAAACTTAGGTACAACAAGTAAGAGAGAACAATCAGCAAAACACTTGTAAAAGGACAGTGACAGAAAACAGAGGAATGGCAAGTCACAGGACAGACAGACCAGAGCAGCAAGTTGCCTTTAGGGAGAATTTGGGGAGAAAGGAGAGTCCAGAATTAAAAGCAAACTATTTAAGGCACAATAAACTTCTACAACTGACATATGATATATAGGCAGTAAATATCTGTTAATTATTATGGTATATTCAGTTACAAAAAGATGGAGAAAACAACAGGCGAAGGTGTGTATTTTATAGAATGTAGCTCTGTTGATAATTAAGGGGAAAAAAGGAAAACAACAAAACAAACTTTGGGCCAAGCAGGCGGCTCAGGATGCAAAGATGAGAAGATGCCCGACACCACACATCCTGACCCGCACAGCGGACACTCCACGGCACATATGCACGCTGCCCCCAAACACAAAGATAAAATGTGGGAGACAAAACAAAACAAGGTAAGTGAGAAACAGTATCAGACACAAAGCGTACTATTGGAGCTGTTCCTCACCTTGGAGGGAACCCTGGTCACCTACTGTGAGTGAGTTTTGTAGGTCCTGTTAACTTCTACACCAGAATCCAAGTGTGGCCTGGCTCTTGCCCAAAGCTAGTGACTGAGGCCAGGCACTCCACTCAGGGTGTTACCTAACAGCATCATCCGCAAGGGTTTGTCAATAGCTTTAGTTGTTCATACAACAAGGGTTAGAAACTCGGAGGCAAACCACTCACACTTGAAAGATAATACAAATTCAAAAAAGAAGTTAAAATATATTGGATCTATTTTTTTTAATTTCACCAGATAGTAAAGTTAACAGAGAAAAAACATTATTTTAAATAAAAAAAATGCTGACATTGTGGTATCAGTTATAAACTGAAATATATTCCAAATAAAACGTTCCATAATTTGTCAAATTTTCAAATATTTTTTCTAAAGATTAGACCATTTAGCCAGTTATCCAACTAGAAAAGTATAAACTTGTGTGGTAAATCAAATTAACAAGATCCCAACTGTTCATGAGACAGCCTAGTTCCACCAGACACACTAAAGCAACAAATCCTGATGCACTCAGCTCCTTACCTGCAGCTCCTTGGAGACTCGTTCTAAGTGACTGGTTATCTTCTTAATCAGGTCACTGTACATCTGTTCCGAGTGCTGCTGGCACACACACTTATATACACAGCTGCAAGAAGGAACAGGCACAGACACCAAGTCAATGAAGAAGCATTCCCGGCAATCTAATGTTAAAGTACACTTTCAAAATACAACTCAACTTATAACAGGTGATCAACCAAAAACAAAGAAAAATCTACCCTCCCCATTCAGTGTTCTGATGGAAAGGACACTGTCAATTAACTTCACATGACCTGGATAGTACACGTGAAATAGGCATGAGATAATCCAAAATGAGGATCTGAATGTACTAACTCCTTGTAAGTCAGCTTTTCTCTCTTTTTTAAAATACTTGTCAAAATGAGAAAGAGAATGATAACTAAAAGAGAGACGGTTTCTGACTTACAAAGGTGTTTGCAATACGTCCTCCTGTACACCAGTTGTGGGGAATGACATAGCTGTCACTTCTTCCTGTCACTGTGCTGATCTCATTTCCCACCCCAGTTCCTAATCTACTGTTTCCATTGACTAAGAGCTAGGTACAGTTAGAGCTGATGTCAGTCAGCATCAACAGGGCTAACTAGGATCTCCCAAACAGAATTGATGTCAGTCAACATCAACAAGGCTAACTAGGATCTCCTAAAAGCCATGTATTTTTACAGCAGACATTCCACTAGCTTCTCTCACTGGCCCTGGAGGTTTTTCATTGTATATGACAGAGACAGGCAAGCAGAGGTGGAAGTTAATAGTGTGGTCTACTAGATCTATCCTGACATGAAAACCACTTCTGAACGGAACATCCAGTTCACCAGTGTGGAGAATATACACGTCCAACGTCATCTAATATACTTTATATATCACATTCATGTTGTCAGCAATCAAAATCCATCCAAACCCACACAAATTAAATAGTCACTTACCTGTAAATCTGTTCATAGGATATAGGTATATAGTCGCCAGGACTCTGGGTTAAAAGTTGGTCTATGGCACCATCTAATTTTGGCCAGTATGTGCTCTTATAATCTTCGATTGTTATGACATTCATCACTACAAATAGAAGTAAAATAAACATTATTATGCACCACACAGAAATACAAATCATAGCAAGTGTATACACATTCAAAATCTGTCCTTCCATTACTTACCCAACCTCTATCAGTTTTTAAACAGAAGAGAAAGTTGGAAGATGGAGGCAGAGGCAGACAGGTATCTGAGTTCCAGGAAGCCTGATCTACATAGTGAGCTCTGAGACAGTGCAGTGACACTGTCTCAAAAAAAGATGGGGGAACTGAGGGGGAGACAGGAGAAAGAGAGAGATGAGATGGGGAAGAAAATGAGCAGAAGAGAGAGTGAAAGCACAAACACACAAACACACACACACACACACACACACACACACGAACTAGTCAGGAATGTTAAGCAGTCATTGGCTGCTTTCCCAATATGCTATAAGCTTCTATCATCAGTGAAGCATTCTCAAAAATATCCTGACCCTCAAATACATATTGTCACAATTATGTGACATAATGAGCCATCAATGAACTACAAGAAGGTTCCAGGAACTATAGCCTTTCATAATTAATCTTTATAGACATCCCTGGGGGGGGGTCTATCTAATAACCACAGGGCTGGAGATTTAAACAACACTGTAGTCCCAAAAGAGGATCCCACAAAATGTACTGACATTTACAGTATCACAGTGCCGTACCTAGAATTCGACAAGACCAAGGAAAAAAAGACAATGACCTAGAGACCTTACACTGAAGGGTCACTTCATTTCAATGGACAAACTCAAACCCTCATCACAAATCCTTTCAAGGCCTTAGCAAGCTGTTCCTAAGTTCAGGGGTAACACATGCTTTACAATAAGATGCTAAAGTTAAATAGTTACCTAAGGATTTCTAGATACCCAAGAAGATAAGAGGTAACAACTTCCAGATCAAGTATTTTACTGCTCATTTTGCCAAAACCTGGGAAGCAAGGAAGTTAACTGGCTTCCTCCAGAATACATGGCTAATTCCAGACAAAGAGGCCAGGCCAGGAAAAGCCTTATCATATTCCTAACGTCTAACCTTAGCCATTAAGGATATATATAAAATACACCACTGCTATCATTATTATTCAATTTCCTATAAATCATTTTACTTTTAGTGCCATAAAATACAAGCCAAAGGGCACTTAAAGAATGACTTGCTGACTCTTAAGACAACATGGTAGATTTTTTTTTCCCTTTTTGAGACAGGGTCTCATGTAGCCCTCAAACTCCAATGTAGCCACGGATGAACTTCAACTCCTGCTCTTTCTGCCTCTACCTCCCAAGAGCGGGACTATAGCTTATGCCAACACATTCAGTTTTAGTATACCATTAACATTAAGTACATTTTGTAAATAAGGCTCAGTATAATACTCGTCTAGTATATAAGAAGCCCTGGGTCTAGTTACTAAAACTATGTGGTTGAGGGCAGTGCTAAATAAATGTAAGAAGCCATAATCAAAAAAGTCTCCATATTTGTAAGAGTTCCGTGCATATAATATTAACTTACTTAGGTGAAACTGTGAGGATAAAAACATATCACTGATTGCCAGAGATTTGTCAATAAGGAAAAGGCATATCTACAAAGGGCCAACAGGGAGATTGCTAGGGCAATGAGGTGCTTTGTATGGAATTGAAATAACAATATACCACTCTATCTGTGTCAGAACCAAAGGAACTGTGCACCATACAATGAATCAACAAGGCTATAGGTTACAGAGGCAGAAATGAAATGGAAACCTGACAAGTCTAATGACAAATGAATCACAGAGACAACAATAAAGGGTAGAGGTTTGCCTAGCATGTATTAGACCCTGGGTTCGAATCTCCACACTGGGGGGGGTGGCAATTCTCCTAAAGACTTAATATTATAAATCTCCTTTTAGGAAATTTAACTCAGTGGCTGACAACTCACCTAACATGTATGAGGCAAATTCAATACCTATTACTTCTGATTAGAAAAAAAAAAGTGTCTCATATTAAAGCCTGACATAGTGGTGCACACCTGCAGGCTAAGGAAGGGGGATAGCCAAACTGCATAGTATGCATAAAGCCAGCCTGGAATGCATGCTGAAAAATTCCATCAAGGAAGGAAGGATGGAGGAAGGGAGGGAGAAAAGGAGAGAGGGATGAAGGGAGAGAAAAGAATGAAAAGCAAATAAACCAGAAGGTGTGAGTTCACAAAGAGACATTCCAATTCAAAATAAAACTTGTGTGATTCTCCAAACAACTGCCACAAAGATGAAACCTCAAAATACTTACAGGGAAGATATCAAACTCACAACCAGACTCCTATTGCAAAGGTAGTTAAACTGACCCTTACTATAACCAAATGAAACTAAGTTTAGAGCACAAACAGCTGGAACCTAGGGTTTGGGAGATACTATACAGCTGTCAAGAACTAGCAAACTACTAGAAATGTGTCGTTCATGGCAGGCACTTTCATTAACCAAATAACTTATTAAAACTTGACAAAAGTCAGGAGTAGTGGCACATGTCTTTCATCCCAGCACTCCAGAGGCAGAGGTAGGCGAGTTCAAGGCCAAACTGGTCTACAGAGCGAGTTCCAGGACAGCCAGGACTAAAGAGAAATCCTGCCTGAGAGCAGGGAACAGAAGGTGTTGCTTTAACACCAATACTACTGGCAAGAAATTAAAAGCTAGAGCCCCAACTCTGAACTGCTGATGGGCAGTCAAAGTCTGTGAAGTGGACTAACAAAGTAAGTGTTTACTGGAGAAACAATCCTAGGCATACTATTTGCTGTTTAGAATTCCATTTCACATGGGGTCCTACTCCCTAATCTTTTCGCAATGACTTCTTGTGCTTTTGTCCGGCTGGTATAGCTACTGCAGAGACTGATCATTACACTCCAACAGTGACTCTCAAAGCCTGGTTACTTAACAGGGAACATCATGGGGAAGGCAGTTTGTCATAGGAACTGTGAGACTTCACTTGTCCTACTTAGTTAGGGTTTCTATTGCTGCTACGAAACACCATGACCAAAAGGCAAGTTGGGGAAGAAAGTGTTTTATTCAGCTTACACTTCCACGGTGCTGTTCACCACTGAAGGAAGTCAGGACAGAAACTCAAATAGGACAGAAGCTGATGCAGAGGTCGTAGGGGGTGATCCTTACTGACTTGCTTCCTGGCTTGCTCAGCCTGCTTTCTTACATAAACTAGGACCACCAGTCCAGGGACGGCATCACTCACAGTGGGCTGGGCCCTCCCCCAATGATCACTAATTGAAAAATTGCCTCTCATGGAGGCATTTCCTCAACTGAGGCTTCTTCCTTCCTGATGACTTTAGCTTATGGCAAGTTGACACAGAAAACCAGCCAGTACACCACCTTAGACCTGATCAGAACTCTGGAGTCAGAAGAGACCCTAGAATCTGTTCCATATTCTCTTCCCAAACGACCCTCAAGACTGCTCAAGTTTGAGAACCACTGGCCCACATACACAGTATAATGTAGCTAGAGAAGGTAACATTCATTTTCTTCTCTGGATTGCTAGTAAGGGGTCTGTCATCTTTGCACTGTGGTCAATGAAATGTATAAATATATCAAAGACAATATTGAAAGAGCAGGCAGAAGTGCTTTCATGCAAACTCACCAAAGTTCCACATGGTACCCCTATTCCCCATCAAGAGAGTTAGCTTATAGTATTGATTCTCTGACTTGCTAATGACAATTTTAAAATAAGCCAAGCTTAGCAAACTAAATTACATCTGAAACATAGTTGGTTTTTTAATTAACTATTGGTGTAGGAAGTCCTTCTGTATATATGTTGCTTTTATTGGTTAATGAATAAAGAAACTGCCTTCGTTTGTGATAGGGCAGAGTAGAGCTAGGCAGGGGAACTAAACTGAATGCTCGGAGAAAAGAAAGCGGAATCGAAGAGAAGCCAGGTAGCCCCACTGGAGACAGAGACTGTATGGAACTTTACCGGGTAAGCCACAGCCACGTGGCAATAAACAGATTAATTTAAATTGGTTAACTAAAGATATAGGAACTAGCTAGCAATACACTTAAGTGATTGGCCAAGCAGTGACTTAAATAATATAGTTTCTGAGTCATTATTTTGTGGTCTGGACAGCCGCGAATGAACAAGCAGCCTTCCACAACAAACTAAGGATTAGGTACACTAAGGCTATTTGTGACAGAGACACACATCTGCTCCTGGCAGTACTAATTTACTACAAAAAAAGATGATGGGCATCGAAGAACCTCTATATAGCTTGCTTTTGTTGTGACAAAGCCAGTCATTTGGAAAAGAAACTACCTTCACCTTGACTGCTGACAGTATAGTGTTCAAATTGGACAAGCAGGACACAAAAAAAAGCAACTGCCAAATTTTGCCTAGACAAGATAGGACAGTCCTTCAAAATTCCCGCTTCATATAAAAGTCTGTTAGCTATTAGGCCCATAGGCCAAAGTTGGATGCCCCATCATTACAGAGGAACCCTGGGGTGACTGTCCAGACAGCCAGATGTCTGTCGTTTCTTAGTTTTGGAAGTTGCTTGCTCTGAACTTCCTGTTTACTCAGATAATATTATATTCTCCCCAGGTCTCTGATGGGGTTGAAGATTAGATAGTTATGTTATAGTTTTTCTTAGTTATGATGAAAAGCAAATTAGGTACAAAACTTTGGACTTACCAAGATATGATAGATAATATTTTCTCTGAATTTGCCAAAAACAAATGGACTGGACATTGTGAACATAATTCTTACTTGAAAATTTTTCCTATTGTATGTAATTTTACTCTATTAGAATTAAAACTTTTGCTTTTTATTTAAACAAAGGGGGAATTTTGTGGCATATTTGCACACTGTGTGAAGATGTGTCACTGTGACTGATTTAATAAAGAACTAAATGGACAATAAGCAGGAAGAGGTTAGGCAGAATTACCAGGAACACAGAGGATTCTAGGAAGAAGGCAGAGTTGCCAGGCAGACACAGAGGGCACAGGATGGGCAGTACAGAATGAAGGTAACCAAGCCTCATAAAAGAACATAGATTAAAAGATACAGGTTAATTTAAGTTAAAAGAACTAGTTAGGAACAAGCCTAAGCTAAGGCTGAGCTTTCATAATTAATAGTAAGTCTCTGGTTTGTTTGAGCTGGCAGCCCAAAGAAAACTCTGTTTACAAATCAGGTGAAATGGGCCAGGGAGAAAGTGGATATTTCTTTAAAAAAAAAAAAAAGCCACCTGTTATCACAGTTTGCTCATCTCAGTAACAAGCCAGTTAATGGCATTACTCAAAACATAGTATCAGACACAGCATTCTGCTCCCTCCATCAAAAGGGGTTGACTGAACTCATTAAAGTACCGGACAGAGGAGCTGAAGGCCAAAAATTACACTTTCAGAGTGGGAAAGAAGTCCTTGGGAATAAGGGGAACAGACGGTCAGAACAAAAACAAGATGATGTATTCTAATAAACGAATGGGAGTATTTAAGAAGCAAAACCCTAGTTGTAAAGGGAAATAATTTTGCTAGGGTGTAGCTTAGTTAGCTGGCAGAAGACTTGCCAGGCAGGCATAAAGCCCTAGGTTTGATCCTCAGCATCACAGAAAGCATTTACTGGATGTGAGGTGAATTCCTCTGACTTCAGCACTCCAGAAACAGGCAGAAGGATCATCTCAAAACAAAAAGAAAATAACTTGACACAGAACCGTAACACTTAGTTGTTACTAGAACTGGCCAGTTTAAAAACAAAAACTATCCATTGTAAATAGTCTGTTCGTGAGGAGAGAAAAGTCTAACTCTGAGCCACCGACTTGGTGATGTTTTGATTTGCCAGTAGAGAAGAGCAGCTATCTGTATCTAGTGAAGCTGCATTTCTTTCTACCCAGACAAATTCTATGAAAAGGCTTTGGGTATTTGGGGACTTCTAAGTTTGGGGATTTGGAGACACTATTGAGAACTTAAAATGTCTACTGTGGATACTTATAAAGTCACTCTTCCCATAGCTTCTGAAGCTATTTTCACATAAACATATTACCAGATAACACTGGCATCTGGTTTTTATTAAGGTCCTCATTAATACATTCCTTGGGTGTTCTACCCTACTCAACTGTCCACAAAGATACACTGGTCTAGATAAGGCTGCAGCAAGTTAGCTTCATGTGAAATGCTCTTCCCGACACTGGAATGTTGTAAATAGCATTTCTGTTCTATTGCTTAGAACCCATTTCTGCAAGAGGAATAGACTAGGAGAGTACAGATGCCCCCAACAGAAGATAGGTTAAGAAACCAACACTCTGTTCCTACAGAACAGTGTTGTGTGTGTCCTACACAACACTGCTCTACAATTCTACCATCACATTTCAACTTGAGACACAGCTGTGTACAAAAGCCCATCGTGACAGCACATGTATGAAATGGTTAGGGTTATCATGACATCTATATGGTACCAACTCCATCTAATTCAAACTCTCACCAAAGTAAAAAAGTATTTAAAATAGGAAATCTGTTCTCAACTACACTAACTACAAGTATCTCACTAATTTAAAATTCTTAATTGTCTCCTAACATTTCAACAGGGTGATCACTCCTTAACACTAAAGCCAAAAATGTCTGAGTTCTGAAGATGAAACAAAGACAGGTGTTGAGGTGAAGCCCTGATGTCGGATGTATATATATATATATATATATATATATATATATATATATATATATGTGCTGCTTTATTGGTTGATGAATAAAACTGTTTCGGCCAATGGCTTAGCAGATTAAACTAGGCAGGAAGTCCAAACAGAGAGAGAGAGAGAGAGAGAGAGAGAGAGAGAGAGAGAAGTTGGAGTTGAGGACAGACATCATGTAGCCACTGAAGGAGATGCCAGAACATTACCAGTAAGCTACAGCCTTGTAGTGATGCATGGATTAATAGAAATGGGTAAAAATTAAGATGTAAGAGCTAGCTAAGAATATGCCTAAACCATTGATCAAACAGTGTTGTAATTAATATAGTTTCTGTGTGATTATTTGGAGCTGGGCAACTGGGAAATGAAAGCACAGTAACTATTTACAAAGCCCCAGAGTAAAAGGAATGTTCAAGTCCAACCAGGAGAAATATACTTCTTCCTGCTCCATTCATCCCCCCTCCCTCCTCAGGATGAAGATCCTTCTCTTGGAAACCGAGCATCCCAGAGAAAGACACTCATGCACTAGCACCTGGCAGTTCTTCAACAGCAGTTCTCCATCCAATCAACCTAAAGTGAAGTCAACACTTAACAACTTAGCAAGGTCCCCTTCAGAGACCTGCTAAAGTCTCTTTCAATTTTAAATATGAATAGACAGTAAAGGATGATCAAATTTCAGACATGAACAAAACAAAAAATGACAAACTTAAGAACAAAGGTAATTCAAAGGATAGAAGAAATCATTTTTTAAAAATCTAGAATTACTATTCTCAAAAGGATACAATTAGAGCTGGTAAATGGCTCAAAGTGCTTACCAACAAGCCTAAGGGCCTGAGTCCAATCCTGGAATCTACCTGGTAAAAGGAGAAAAACAATTCCTGTAAGTTGTCCTCTGACCTCCCACATGTTACCATGCTAACACAAACACACACACAGGGAGTGTTATTTAAAAAAAATAAGATACAATTAAAACCTGTCTTAGCATAGAAGCAATCCAGGTGCTTCTAAAGTTAAAAATACAGCCAAAATCTAATAGAGAGATAAAGAAATCATCAGGGAACTTTCCCAGACCATTAAGAGAAATAGAAGATAAAACCTAGCTAACTGACAGAAAAACTGGAAATTCTACATGACTACTAATAATTCAAGAGAATGAAAGAGAACAGGAAAAATGTAAAGGCAAACAGATACTGACATATTATAACATCCCATAAGCTCCCTCAAAAATGAAAGTCAAAGTAGCATTTGATATCATTCAATGTAGATAGCAAGCTTGAAGTCAAAGATGGAACACTTTAAAAGTTCCAGGAAAAATTTCAGTCAAGATTTCCTGTGGTACACGCCTTTAATTCCAACACTCAGGAAAACAGAGGCAGGCAGATTTCTATGAGTTTGAGGCCAACCTGGTCTACACAAAGAGTTTCAGAACAGTCAGAGCTACATAGTAAGAGACTTGTTGGGGGATGAGGGCGGGAGGGATTCTCCATCTCAACTATCAATTAGGTAAGTATGAATGCAGCCCCCCCCCCTTTTTTTTTAGCTAGGCAAGATCTAACATTCTTATCAGGAACCTACTAGAAGACTTCTTCAAATATGCATACATACCCAGACAGGAATATACCAACGAAAAATGTAGATGCAATCATAGAGGCTGAGGGTGTAACTGAGCAGCAGAGCCCTTGTCTGGCATGTAGGGATCCTAAGTTTGATTTCCACCATCACCAAAACTAAAGAGGGAACGGGGAGAGGAGAAAGGCAGAGTGGGTGTGGCCACTATAATACTTGAGAAGCTGCTGAGTGACAAGTATGCCTTAGCCTTAAGGAACCAAAAGGAAAAAGAGGACTGATAATTTCATAAGCAAAGACCAAGTTAATGGAATGACGCTGTTGACAGGTTTTAAGAATATGTTCAAGCCGCCCATGTTAGCATATGCTTTTAATTCCAGCACTTAAAAGGGAAAGGCAAGCAGCTCTCAGGAACTTCTAGGCCAGCCAGGGCTACAGTGAGAGCCTGTCAAATAAAATAAAATAATAAAATAAAATAGAGTATGTTCAACAAAAGCATGTCAAAGTTCCAGATCAAAGAGAACGTATCTATGTACATTTTTGGTCCTTCAGTGACTATCATGTCTTCTATGAGAGCAGCAAGTGCTCTTAACCACTGAGCCATCTTTACCGCCCCTCCCAATTTGTATTATTTTAATAACAGCAAAGTTTTTTGATGAAACTACTGTTTTAGGATTTCCAATATTCTAAGGTGGGAGAGATAAAAAAGTTCAGGAGTTCAAACCATTCATCCTCTCTTCCTCAACCCAAAATTCTATAGACTTCAAACCCTAAAGACCTCTAAACATCTGAAAACCCCTACTCCAAAGCTTTAATTGTCCAGGCTCCAACTCTTGTCTACAATTATTACAGCTTAAAATGGTCATTGTCTTTCTCCACTCACATTAAGACACAACTTAACCAAGGCACATACTCCTTAACACTGAGTGGAGGAGTCCCTTCCTGTCCAACCACATCTATCTATTCACATTTAATTGTGCCATTCCATCCTTACACCCTGTGCTCCCAAAATAATCATGGGTCACATCTGAGTTCTCCCTCCCTCTCCTTCCTCCCCATGCTATCAAGTATGTACGCAACACTAGCATCTGGTCATAAAGCACCAGCATTATGTCTGTTCATCATCTCACATTAATTTTGTCTCATTCCATGCGCTCACTATCAGAAGCTGAAACACTACTTTGCATAAAGAAACACTTGCTGAATAAAATACCATTCAGATGTCTAATCACCACATCTGTAACTAGGTAATATAAACCTACAGAGGCTAACAGCCACATGTCACCAACACCAGAATGAGACACGAAACCAGTTTATAGTTCTAAGACACACTACAAAAGGCTAAGAAAAACAAACTTCACAAAGTGCCTAACAACCTACAGTGCAATGAGCATGGTTTACAGCTCAGGTACTTTACAAAAGAAGTAAACTGTTTTCTTCAGAGATTTGAAACTAAGCTTTATCATACAAATCAAAAGCAGGTTTCTCTTTATCAATGACATTTTATGTGATACCAGTTTGTAAAAATAAAAAGCAACACGGCAAAGGAAGAGCCCCAATAATATCCTGCAGTTCAGCTAATGGATCACATTCATGTGATGCTTGCCAAACAAAGCCAGTAAGCTAGAAGGTGACAAGTCACACACCACATTCGGAGTCCATCAACCCATTTGCAAACTGGAAGACAGGCCCTGAAAACCAAAGGACAAATTTAAAATTTAGAAAAATCAGTTAATACTTTTCATCAATTCAAAAGTTAAATTTTACTTAATACTAGAAAAAAAAAGTATTTCATTAGGTTCAAATTGAAGTATTATAAATTGCCTTCTCACTTAGGGACAAGAATTATTAGTGATGTGGATTGCTAAGTCTCCTCAGATCAAAGATGCCCACGGTTGCCGTCTGACAACTACACACTCTCATATGTGTGCGTGTGCACATGCACCTATACCCACACCACACCACACAGTCTCTTTATACCTGGACACATCAGCATCAGTTACAGGAAGACCCTTTCACTCATTTAGCCATCATTCAGTTATTATTTGTCCCAGCATACCCTAGTTCATCATGCTTCCTAATATATTCCGGAACTACTCTATTTAACATCTATGGAATGTGAGCAGGTGTAGGCATTCTGATAGAGTCTTACTATGGAATTCTACTGCTGCCACAAAACACCATTACCACTGTTAGGATTCAGGCATTATGCTGGCTCCTGTCACCTGGCAGGATGAACCCAGGCAGTACCCTGGTCAGTCCAGGGTCCTATGACTGCTACGTCACTATGTATATACACAGGTGCAAAAGGTCCCTTTAAGAGACCAGCTCTGCCCATTCCTGCTTTCTCTTTCCACCACTCTTCTGAATAGGTAGGCTAATCCTTGCCTCTTTTTCCTCTTCCTCTTCCTCTCTTACCTCCTCCACTCCCTTTATCTCAATAAAACTCCCACATACATAAGCTCTGCCTGCATGGTGTGTCTGCTCCTCACCTGCTGTGGGCTCTCATGTGCTGTGTGGCCCCTTAGCCAGCCGAGGTCTTTCTTCTGCTGCTTTACAACAACCATAAAGCAAGTAGGGGAGGAAAGTTTAGTCAGCTTAACACTTCGACATTGCTGTTCACCACTGAAATAAGTCAGGACTGGAACTCAAACAAGGCAGGATCCTGGAAGAATGCTCTTTACTGGTTTGCTTCCCTTGGCTTGCTCAGTCTGCTTTCTTATAGAACCTAGGGTTACCAGCCCAGGGATGGCACCATTCACAATGGGCTGGGCCCTCCCCCAGTGATCACTAGGTGAAAAAATGGTTTACAGCTGAATCTCCTAGAGGAATTTCCTCAACTGAGGCTCCTTCCCCTCTGATTAATTTAGCTTGTATCATAAAATGTGCCATTACAGATGGGCTACATCACACAGGCTAATCTAAACAGAAAAGCATCTTTAAAAAACTTGTTTTTCTGTCCCCGCTTTGTCTCTACAAAACAAAATAGGATCTAAAGTAAGCTCTTCTCAATAAAATGACATATGAAGGGCTGCAGCAAATTTCAGCCATTTATACTGCTCAGCTGGAACCTCCAGCTCGCTCCTCCTTGATCATGAAAGCCCCATTCCTCTCTCTCCACAACCCACTCTCTCAGAAAATCTCAGGCAGCTATTTCCTCTGCTGAAGTTGCCAGTAGGCCAAGACCCCGACTAAAGCGGTCAGTTTTTAACCATACTTGGGTACAAACTCAGCATATCACCACCCCCTCACTTACAGGGTATATATGCTCCTTGCTTTAGTTCGGTCACGTGACCTCTCTGGCTCCAATCTCTGGGGCCGGAGAACTCACCCAGGAGTTGTTTTGCTCAAATAAACATGTTCTTTTGCTTTTTCAACTCGGCTTGATCTGGCTTACTGTGTCAGCAGAGAAACCTATTATCAAGTTACACAGAAAACCTATTAAACATAACATGAGCAAGAAAAAGAGAGATATAAACAAAACAACAAAAACCCTTTGTTATATTATGTAAGCCCCTGAGATTTGGAGGTTATTTTCATAAGAAAACTCATTAATTTTAAATGGAAAGTTAAACAAAAAGTTACACTTTCCAAATTAGGTTCTGCCAAGAGAATACACTTTAGCGCAATCTGGAAGGCCAAATCAAAGCCAAGGGCCTTGCAGTACTGCTGATCTTTCTGTAGACACTAACAAACTCCAAATTCCAGGACTTGATCACTAACCTCGGGATGAGACAGGTTACAGAGTTGGTGTAAAAAGGTGACAAGGACAGCAGACCACTCTCTGGAATGGCCACCGACTTCCATCCTTCCAAACTGCCAAATATTCCTAAAGCACCTGAGTTCCTGTCCTCAATTCCCTCTTGCTGTGGATACCACAGTTCCTGCACTGAACTGTGACTGGTAAATGGTGCTACCCAGAGGAAACTGGCTCAAAGGTTCAGAACCAGCTTTGGTTTCCTCTCACAATTGAGTTTCACAGCAGTAATGTCTTGCTACCATTTTAGAAAAAGCTCTAGCAGCACATGGCATGCAGCCACAAAGAGTTAAATTATCACCTGTGGATATATTTTTAAAAAAATTTATAGAAAGCAATCTGGTGGGCTGCTGAGGTAGTGGGGAACTAGAAATACAAGGACTACGACATCTGATCGGAAGACGGTAGTAGGCTCAAGGAGAATGTCCAGTTTATTTTGTCTTAGAGCATGTACGACCTCTGCAAAACCCATAACGGATCTCCTAACCATTAGATTATTTTGTCTCAGAGCATGTGCGACCTCTACAAAAC